CGAATGCATCGAATGCACTAAACGAATACGAAAAGAAGGAAATGAAATACGTTGATCGTCAATAAATCATTTATCACTATCTCATCTATACTCCGGGGAATAATAGATTAAAAAATGGAAAAGGAGAAGGGAAGAAACTTTGGAGGAAACCGAGAGCTGGCGAAAGGAGAACGAAGGTGAGGAAGGATGTTGAGGGGTGATGCAGAGCCGAGGGGAGGCCGAGTGGGGCATTCCGGTGAGGGGCACAGGGGAGAGTTTAATGTTCCCCTCCAGTGGGTGACTCGAGGGTGTAATTGCCGTAGTGGGCGGAACGGAGCGAGCATAGCGCCAATGGGCGTGGTTCGCTGATTACACCGCGTTGATACTGATATCCTGGCTACCAGCGGCTAACCAACTTCCTCCATCCAACCTGTTCGGGCACCATTCCCCCCCGCACATCTTACCGAATCGTTTTGCCGCGGACGATGATGACGACGACGACGACGACGACGACGACGACGACGACGTGATGACAGCTACTGTGTGTATGTGTGTGCGGAATCTCGTCGACGCGGCGGCTTTCTCTTCTCTTGTGCGACGCTGAATGCTTTCTGTTGACAATGCTCATTCCACAATGATTACATTGCTGCAATTATTAAAACATTAAGATATATTTTGCTTTTGAACAATTGGCCAATTGAACAATTGTAATTTCCTTATTTTTCGAGTTTAGCAGTGTAAGTAGAAAGGCAGAATCATTTGAAATTAAATCAGTGGATAAGACAAAAAATATCGAACAGGTTTATAAAGATAACAATATAAAAAGTTAACATATTTAATAACATATTAGGATTATTAATAACATAAATGAATTTTGTTATATGCCAATTTAATTTTAACTTTAGAAAATATTTGTGTAATTTTATTTTGTAATAAGATAATGAGAAATTAGATAATAGCATATTTATATGTAGAATCTTTTATTGATTATGAATGCAGATTAATTACCTATTGTTGAGAGAAAAAGTATGTTTAGATTAAATATAAATTTGGTTAAGGTATCGTATCAGTATGTATCAGTTACAGATAAATGAAAAAAGTTATCACTGAAGTAAATTAATTTGATTGGATTAATTATTAAAGCATGCAATTTTCCGATTTTGCAATATGAATAAAATAGCTAAAAGTAGCGGAAAGAATAGGACAGCCATATCAATAATATTTAACAGGTGGCTTTTTATTACATGTACGTCACTCTATTCATTTCTGCATCGCACAAATCAATCTACATAAATTTGAATTGATCACAAATATAAATTGATTAATTGATAATCGAGATCCAAAATATCAGAAACAAGCATCGAACATACAAAAATCGATATACAAAACCGGTATACAAAAACCGATTTTCTCTTAAATAAAAGAATGAGTTGTAAAACGCGTTGCACGCGAAAAAAAAAACTCGGCAATTGGGCAAAGTTGCTGATACAATCGGACGAATCGTGACGATAAACCGAGAACGCATAAGAATAAATAAAGAAGCGATAGAAGCGATCGTCGACTCGACGAACGCGACGTGGCCGTCCGTGCCATCGGCGATCCACGCCCCGCTGACTGGACTGTTTTTTATTGCACCGCCGCACCCGAAAGATCGACCCGAAGCCGCAGGAAGTTTTCTCTTTCGTCGGGCAGAGAAAGAAAGACGCGAAAGAGAGGATCTCGCAAGGCGGAGGCGTCCACCGAGCGACGGGAGTCTCGGTCCATCCATTCGATCAGCGGCTGTACATAGTTCGAGAGCATAGGGGTGAAGTGGCTGGAAAAGCTATCCCGTCCGACTTTTTGCATATTGCTAGTGTGCATCGATGATGACATATCTCCGAACTGACGTCACGACTCCGATCTCGATTCCAATGTCAAAGATTTTTCAAATTCAATGGGTAATTCTATAAACATACTAAAATAAATGTTAAAATCTGTTAAGGAATACACTTTCAGTTCTAAAATGAATTAAAAATTAAGAATATGTAGAAAAACATACATATGTGTATGTTCATGAAGCTAAATACATATTAAAAACATTTTATTTCAAAAAATACATTTATTTAAAGATATATTAGAAAATATGTTTATGTATTATTGTACCGTTATATCAAAGCGTAATATTGTATATCAAAGAAAAGATATATAAATCAAAGAACTATGTATCTTGAAAGATAAAATATTCATACATTTGCATATATTAATATATAATAACTGAATATATAATGTACGTGCAACTTGCTATATGTAAGAAAAATAGAATTTGACAATGAATTGAGCGTTTGATATAATCACGTTTAATTGTTAACTTTAACAATGAGATATACCTTCACTTGGCACACGCCATAATCTATTAGCGGAACGATCTATTGGCGGATTAAATGCGAATCGACCAGCATTCGAACTCGTAACTTTCTTACGGTGTCATCGCGACGCGCTTTCGATTTCCGCTCGGTCATCGAGTCTCATTTAAAGAGGAGGCGATCCTCGTTAAGCAGCAAAATCGAGAGATCGACTGTCTGACCCCCCCAGGCGATACGCCCACTCGATACCGCGCTTTGATCCACGGACAAATATTCTCTCGTTTGCCATTTAGCTTCTCCATTTGCCATTTAGTCAAATCGAACTTCACGGTTTTAGCATGCAGCTACTGTAATATGACACAGATAGTTAATATTAAATAAATGGATAGTAATAAAACTGTTCATCTCTTAAATTGGCGACCCTATTATTAAACTAAATAACTTCTTTAAATTTCGCTTCTAACAATTTTTATTGTATAACAAATATATTGGTAAAAATGTGAAGATATAAAAGTAATACCAATAGAAAGATATAATAACCAATATTTTTAGATACTATTCTCCCTTTTATTTTCGTGGACATTTACACTCGTCTAATATCCACAAACTTTAAATATTGCAATTAGCGTGTAAAACATTAAGAACAATAAAACTAAAAGTTTACTCGTAAAAATGAAATTTTTGGAAAAAGTCTTGGCTTGCAATATATTATCCAATAATAAAAAATGCATCAATGCTTTAATTTTTTTATTTTACATTTTAGAGAAAGAATTTACTTTTATGTACACGCTAGATAGAAACTCCGCCGTGCGACACTCGGCAATCGATATAGGCGATGGAGCATAAATGAGCGAATGAATTAGTGATGTATCTGCGGGTGTCTGATTATCGTGCGCTTTCGGACACGCCGGCTCGGTTAAGACGAAGAGAAATAAGGGGCGTCGAAAGGGCGCGCATTAGCGACTTCGTTTATTATTCATGTGTGAGAGTTAAGCGCACGCGTATATTATTCGTAATTTCCGTGCACGTTCGACACGAATTTCATTTCGACGCGTGCACGCAGGGAAATTGTTGCTCACGTACGCGTTTCACCCCGAATCGTTTCATTTGTGCACCCTGCGACAAGATTGCACACCCCGCCTACTCACCCTGCCTAGTAGGCAGTTTTTGGTAATATTCTAAATGAAAATTGTTGCAAACCTAACGAGAAAAATGTAATTTTCAATGTAAATGAAACTAGAATTTATATTAAGAAGAAGAAATTCATGTGCAAATTGGACAAGAATGATATAATAAATATTGTTTCCGAATAATATATAAAATTTTGGATCTAACGAAAGATGTATTTTATTAAATGATTACAATAATATAAAATAGTGTCTACTATATTTTACATATTTTTACATATTCTTTTTAGAAGGATTTTATAAGAACAAATATTATATTTTCTTTCGTAGAGAGAAATAATTAACTGACTTAATCCTGTATTGTATATAAAAATGTTACATATTACAAATTTTTAAACTAAAAACTTTCAAATACCTAATAAAAATATTTAAATTTATATAGTTTGATAAAATTAATATTTATTTCCAAAACAGTTTTATATCAATTAAAAAGTAATTAAAAATAAAAATCAATTAAAAGTAAGTTTTATGGATTTTCGATAAAGAATCAGCTTTTTCGTAATTCTTTTTAATTTTTTAATATAAATAACAATTAGTGATACAATTTCTGCAATATATAAAACAACATACATCAATGAATTTTTAATTTATAATAAAACATGAAAAATTAAATTCCACTCTTGATGAAAAATGGAATCGATGAAGGACATTAAATATACGTAATTAAAGAAAATAACTATCTAAGCTGCTTTTGTCAATGTCAAAAATAATTCGAGAATGAGAGGATTAAAAAAGAATGTAACATTAATGATTCGTTGCAGCGCATAGGATCTCTCACTTGGAGAATTCTTTTTCGTCCCTACACAAAGGTGTGTTGAAGTAGTGGGTGTGACCGCGATGGTATCATTCGGGTTTGTTTAAATAATCGAACGTTTCGGGACCGGACAGCGTATCTTCGGGTCGGCATCTAACCAGCCAATATGTATGATAATTTTGACATACCCACACCTCATAATGGAACCTGACTACGTGCTTGTTCTTAATTTCCGTTTTCTTCAGTTTTGTTCTGTCTTCTCTCGTACGTAAATAACCGGAAAACTCTCAGCAAATTTAAATATAGAATTTTAATTCTCCTTGCCCCGTCTGAAGTTATTTAAAAAAATTTAGAAAATATAATCTCTCGTCTTTTGCACTAGTCATTTTTCAAAATATTGATTTTTTTTAAATATCTATTACTAAGTCGATTGTTTAGAAAATGAAATAACCGGTCGTTGGTAAATAAGATGTTGAATATATGTTTCGTTATGTAACATCGTACGCACATCGACGATGATGGTCTCTTCGAGTTCGCGCGCTCAAACGTCTGGCGACAGCACGTGTTTGTGAGACTGACAGCAGCAGTCAACGATATAGACAAGAATTATTTCCTATTTCTGCACTAAAATTTTCTATCTCGCTCTTTTATCAAACTTCAAATATATTATCTATTTTATTTTCAATACAATGAATATGCACTGTAGTTCAGCTGCGAAAAACAGATCAATAATATCTAGAGCGAGCAAGTTCAAGAAGTGGAGATGTGGTGCACGTAGAAAAGGATGCACTCTGTTTTGTGTCCATACGTTCACGAAAGAGCACGAATCCTCTTCTTCATGCACTCTACACCCATTCTGCGAAATAACCGTCTAGATATATCATATCTATGGTCAGCAGCTGTTTAGATCGTTCTCATCTTGCGGAGTGTGTGTGATTACTTTTACACGAAATTTCCTACGTCTTGAAATGTCTTTATATTAATTACATCGAATCAGAAGTTTCACAGTTTTTTATCCGCAAAAATGGTGGATGAAGATATCAATAATAGTCTAAGAAGATTTCATTATCGTAAGATACTGCGCGAAATTCTACGCGCCTGTCAGAATGGAGACTTAGACAGAATAAAAACAATACTCGAGAAAGAAGGACATAGAATTCGCGGTTGGGGTAGTTTTGGTCACGAGGTATCTGGCGATACTGTGTTACACGTGGCAGCACAAGCGGGAAATATGAGCATTGTGAAATATCTATCCAAACATACGGATGAATTTAAAGTCAATGTTAAAAATAAAGACATGAAGACGCCACTACACTGCGCTGCGCAATTTGCGCGAGAAGATGTTTTGAAATATTTATTGGAGAAAGGTGCTCTATTGTATTTCTTCTTTTTCAATTAATTATTTATTTAATTTGACGTAATAAATAAATTATAATTTGATTTTAATTATATAAGAACATTTTATTTATTTTATCAGTATTTAATTTGTTTTTGAAATATATAAAATTAAAACTCTAAATTACATTAAATTATCTTTATTAAATTATTTTCATATATTAGAAATTATTTAACTACTTTTAATTGGGAAAAATTTAATGTTAAGTTATATTTAAATTAAAGTTATTGAAATTTATAAATTAATTTATATTGAATTATATTTATATGTGAAATATGTTACGTGTAAGTACTATTGTTTGATTAATAAAGGTGCAGAAGTAGATGCTTTAAAACGTGCCGACTGGACACCACTGATGCTTGCATGCACCAAAAGTGGCCCAACAGCACATGAATGTATCAAGGCTCTTTTAGCTGCTAAGGCTAATGCTTCTTTTCGTAATAAAGATGGTTGGCCATCATTATTCATCGCCTGTCGAACTGGTGACGAAGAGTCAGTCAATATATTATTGAAACATTGGCCAGAGGGTATCCACGAGTGGACCAACAATGGTCGAACTGTATTGCATATTGCTGGTAATTATACAGAATTTATTTTCTAAATTTTTCCATGTCATCAAGAAAAATATGATTCACTACAAAAACTTAAGCAAGTGAAAAGATTTTGTCAAAAATTTGATCAAATACCTTTTAGACTTGTTGAATAATACTTCAAAACTTTTATTTAACTATTAACTATATTAATTATTTAAATATTAACTCTATCTTGAGATAAAAAGTTATTCGTAATTTTCATGAAGCATAAACATAAAACGTTCACCTCATATATTCAGACTTGTTTTTTTAATATTTAATTATTATAATTTTTTTAACAAAAATCAAATCTATTTCTAAAATTTTATTTTGAAAAAATAATTTTATTATATCGAAATTTTGAAAATTACTTATTTCTAATAGGAATTTTCATTATCTTCAGTAGAAAAATTCATATCGAGTCAGTCACAAAACTTAAAGCCTCAACAGTGTAGTAAAAGTACGCAAAATCGATTGCTGGCGCCACTGTTTCGCAACTTATCCTACTAATTCTTATATACTGTATCGATTTTTATTTATCTGATGTTTTATGATATATATTTTTGTTGTACAAATTACAACAAATAAGATTTAAATTTTTATTATATAATAAAATTTATATTTAACTGATATTTTACTTCAAATATAATTTAATCTTTAAAAATAATTTTTTTATTCTTATAAAAATTTTTAACATTATTTCTTCACATCTTGATATTCTTAATAATTCTTACATTTTTGTATTGCTTTTTTAATATTAAAAGGTTTAAAATAAATGCTAAACATTTTATATACAATCTTTCAGAATTATTCAGCGCTACCTGTTTATATTTAATTATTTCTTTTTGATTTGCAATATGTAACTCATTTCAATCTTTAATTGACATAGCACTTCACGGTCATGAGAGAGTGATTGACTTGCTCGTCAGAGCAAATGCAGATGTAAATGCACAGGATTCTTCAGGCTCTACACCGCTTCGTGAGGCGGCGAAGCACGGAAATCTGGATATGGTAAAATGCATTATACATCTAGGCGCCGATATCAGTCTCATAGACAATATCGGTCGAACTATTCTGCATGATGCCGCACTAACTGGCAATGCAGAGATTGTTGAATACATTGTAAAGAACAATCTGATTGATGTGAATCACAAAGATTTTTCGGAATCACACCGGTGATGATAGCCCATAATCACGATATTGTTAAAATTCTCGTTGAAAATGGTGCAAAATTATAAAATCTTTATCCATAATAAATATTTATATTTAGTTATTATTATTTATTGCTATTGTTTTTCAATTTTTCTCGAAGGGGATGCGAAGGGAATTTGTCTGAAACGAGAACAATTTTTTAGTTTAAATCTTTTTTACATCGTTAATCGTTTATTACTTTAATATGACGTCAAGTCACATCAATATTTGTTTTATATAAAAATTTAGCAGTATGTGTCTACAAAACTGATACTTGCTAAATTAGAAGCTTACATAAAGAAACAATATTGAATTTTTCGAATAAAGAGACAAAGACATAAATGAGACATTTTTTTATTCTAATCTGTATCTTTGAGTGTTTCTTACATCATAAGGTACGTTTTCTTACATTAGATATATATTTTTTTTATTTTTCTTTATACATAAAAAGGAACCTATTATTTTAATAAAATGTGAATGATTTGATTCCCGGCGATTAATTGAGGATCTTATAATTGAGGAAAGAAAGATTGAGGCAAGTGGCATTTTATTCAGAGATTGGTACACATTTATTTATCCTTTGTTTTTCCTTGTATCAGACAGTTTTAAAGAAGCATACAAAAATCAGAAAACGGAGGCTCTTATTAGTTCGGAGATACCTAGGCTTTACATTCGTCTTTATCCTCTACCTTTATCCTTGCTCCTTTGCTCCTCTGCTTCATTAAACTTTCTTTTTTTAGCGTGTGCAGGCAGGCGACGTAGTACAAGAAACTCATGCGTGTAAACTGTTAACTGTGTGCGTGCTTAAACTCTAGAACGCTAACATAATTAACAATCAATATTAACACTTTGCGACACGTGATCTTAAACGCTTTAAAAATAACATAAATAATTTGAAGTTGCTTGAAAAAGATTATTAATTATCGCAAAAATTATTAATGCTCCTGTTACTTTATTGCTAATCTATAGAAATTTTAAATATAAATTTTCTATAGATAGTTATAAAAATGTAAACTACGTGCCACAAAGAGTTAGAAAAACTTGCATTCTTTTGTATCATAAATCTATATAATAAAAAAACGAAAAAGAATATCGATCATTACGAGTTACTGATATAAACCATGTTTACATAAATTATGACGAATATATTGATAAACAAACAAAGAATTGGCACGCATCTGAGAATGTAACAACGGTTGTAGTTAGCGCCCTAGCGTTAAGTATCATTTACATCACGAAGGAAAAACGTAAAAGGTAAAAATCACAGAATTGTATGCGAATTATATGCGGTCGCGTGGACCACAAAGCTCGCCATTTCGCGGCTTTCGATTCGAGAGATACACGACGATTTGGGAGAAAGAGATGGCCGGAAGCGAATAAGCCTTTTCCTTCTATTGACGCACCTCGAAGTATCAGTAACTTTAAACGGTCACATCAGTCGTAATAATCGCAGAAGAAATATAATATATTATTAACTATACTAAATGCAGTATAGTTACATAGCATAATACAATACTATAGTACGCGACTCTCTATCGTTAACTATACCAAATAGTATAGTCAACATCACAATGTGTTACACGTTTCTGGGGCTTGGAGGTATCAATAGTCGGATAAGAATTAACGCTCATAATCATAATCATAATAACCGCACCTGCTGCAAAGATCGTCATTTTGTCCCATGCAACCGCGACATTGTTGAAAAAATAAGTATGAAACGAGTTTTAAAGTAAATTACACGCGATGAACTTGCGTTTCTCATCGCGATTTCTTCCACTCACTCACAGTAAATCACAATATATATATATATATATATATATATATACGGGACGCAAATATTTCGTAGGAGACTCCAAAAAATTTTTGTCAAATCAGCCTTTGGAGGGCGGCAATAAATAGACAGAGGATGATTTTTTTTATCTTCATTCGACGCATTTGATCTCTTTCACTTCACGAAACGAAAGCTTATCTGCTAAGTATCTCACAGGATAAAGTTAGGAGACTTAGGGAAAAAGAGAGTTCTAGATGAAGGATCGAGGTGGAATGGATAATAAAGGATCGTTATAACGACGGAGGCGAAAGAAGAAACATCTTGATTGAAATGATCAATTAACCTTGTGCCTGTTTCTTTCACCGCGGGAAAGCGGAACGGGAATGAGAAGGAGTAAAAAGAGAGTGATCTCGGGGCGAAAGATATTTACATTTATAAAACGGCTAAGGATAAAACATGCACTGTACATCGTCTGTCCGTGTCCGATCAACGCCGCACACGCGTCCTCTCCTCATCCTTTGATCCTTTCTCGCACAGCGATAGAAATGTGGACGAGTGTGCTCGACTACACCACATTTTGTCTTTTCCTTCTTTTCTCCGTTTTTCATTCGAGACATCCAGATCGCAATCCGTAAAATCCAAGATACCGCTCTCTAGAGATAACTCGTTTTTTTAAACGTAAAACTATATTTTTTTATAAGACTCGCTCCAATAAATAATTTTACGTTTAAAGCGAGTCAACAGAGCGAGGCTCGATATATATATATAATTTTATACTTAAAACATCGGATCTTCACAGATTCTTTGTGAAAAAAGGATCGCTTTAACTATAAATTTATATTTAAAATAAATATAAAAAAAAAAATTCTAGCGTAAAGCAAATAGGATCACCTTAAATAAAATTTCGCGTCCAGGATGGACTTTGCGAGTTTCGATCCCAACCGTCTCGTTTTACCTCTCCGTCGTCGATCTACTTTAGTAGAGTTTGTTATAAATATCCAACGATTACTTGGGCTCTTTAATATTTTACTTCCCTTGCTTAGTTTATTTACAACATTAACTAATACGCGTTGGGACTTAAGTTAAGATCTCCGCCTTGCGCGTCCTCCGCGCCGTATGTCACCGATAATACATAATAGCTCGTAATAGCTTTTGCTACTTACTAGTAAACTTATCGTAGGTATGCTTTCTTTCCGTATCTACTCGATCATCATCTTAGGGTCTCTCGCTCTCGGCTCTCTCGATCTCTCGCGCTCGCGCTCCACTTTACATTACAGATATTCCAACATGTACAAAGCTCTATTTACATTATGTACATACAGTTTTCGCATTTTCAGAGCCCTTCGCGACGATACGATAACGTTTCGCGTACGCGTGTGTTCACGCGTGTCCACGCGTGTCATGTCCGTGTTCGTGCACGCGACAAAAACTTCAATCGGGACGCCTAGACGCAAAGAAGCATTCTCGTCGCATGTTTCGCATTACACGAATATATCGCTAAGCCGCCAAGTTTGCCGAAATGTTTCCACTTTGCTCTCTCTCGCGCAAGATAGTCGATCGTATTTTTTTTTTTTTTTTTTTTACATTAAACATGCGTCGAAAATGCGGACATTATCTCATCTCTGATTGACCTTTGAGTCTGCGACGGTTCTTCATCTCTTTTCAGGTTCGCAACGAACGTCGAACGGATGGAATGTGGGTGCTTTCAACAATTATATGTTATGCGGCTAAGGCTCGCAATTCCCCCGGTTATAGAAAATTATACACAAGCTACTTCTTTCAGTTTAACTGCTGATAATCTGATAAATCAGTCATGGTAAAACTTAAACTCTAAGCAACTCGTAATCTTGACCCAATCGCAATCGCGGTTTAAAGAATAATAAATCTGATAAGAGCAAATATGTGGCGTTGAATCAAATTCGATAGTAAAGAGATATCGGTAGCCTTGATTGTACAAATTAAAAGACTTTCCTTCATAATATTTATAACGTTTTCAGAGGCGATTAACACGCAATTGCCAGATGTAAAATGTTTTGTTTTTTTTTTTTTATTAAAGATACGAATAATAATGTTTATATATTTTGCGGCATTTTTCATAAGAATTTTATCAATGTTTCATGATTCTTGAAATCTTACTAACTTATTGATAAAGAATATTAATACCTTTATTAAAAATTTTTTACTGTTGCAAAAATTTACATTTATAAAAACTCATTTATTTTTCATCTTTTGATATAATTTATGATGTAGAAATTAAATCGTATTTATTATCCAAATTTTCTGAAAATCTCATCAATAAGAAATTTGATGATATTGAAATGTAATATGTGATTTGGTCGTTTCAATTAATGTTAAATGTGAGCATAAAGCTCTTGGATCTTACAGATGTTTATATAGCAAATGTCTATAAAGGCTACCGATATGCTGACATTTCTCGTGTTGGATATTTCAAGAAATCATATTTTGGAACGCCGGAATGAGCAATTATGTCTTAAAACTGCTCGGGACACATTTACACACTTAACATAGCTGGTACCCCTAACGCGATTATCACTATTACAATTCTCCTACATGCGTGTTTCTCAAGAGCGAGAAATAAACCAAGCAACCACGAAGTCGTGACATAGCGGACAAAGATACGTTGAACTTATCACACTTGTTAATGCAATTTCCTCATTAAGTCATTTTAATGCAATTTGAATTAAATAAATCAAACAGATTCTAACTTAACTAAATTAAATCTTAAACTTTATATAGACTTTACTTAACATGAGGGAAAGAGATTGTTGAAATATATAATATAAAGTACTTGAAATAAATGTTTTTATTGATAGATTCATAAAAGAATAAATGTTTTTAGCATAAGGAAAATACTATTTTAAATAATTGCAATATATTAATAATTAATATAAATATTATAGATCATTCAACGTAATTTCATCCACAATGTACCATATTACGAAGCTATCGAAGCTCGCTTTCAATACTCTTCTTTTCATCCAACAAGGATCCTCGTGGTTTTCGTCGTTGAAGACGCGACGAAGGATGATTGGAGAACGAGAAACTCCCACTCGACACAATTTCCGCTCGCGATAAAAAACACTCGGGGATGATAAAAATAAATAGCGCGCGCGCGTGGGATCCCTTGGTTACACGATTAGCTCACGCGTTCTCACATACACATACACGGTTTTGTTTTAAAAAATAGTAAAAAACAGTGACTAAGTGTTTTCGCGCATTTTTCCACGTCGCTCGGGAAATCCGCTTGTATCACTAATATTTACCCGCCCACTCACGATCCCTGGGCCCTTCTTACCATTTCTCTTTCGCTCTTTCTGCCTCCTCACAATAATAATATATCGTTACTGTATACATACATATACATACATATATATATATATTTATTTATTCATTTTTTATTTATAAAAATAACGTTCTGGGACTAAAACGCAACGTTCCAAAGCGGCGTGCGACGAGGAGCTGCCACGTCCGACTGATAAAGGCGCTCCAGCCATTGCCTCTCGATTTCTCCTTTATTCTTCTCGCACAGGAGAAAATTTTAATTTCCGGCCATCAACGCCGAGAATACGCTCGTTATTTGTTCGTTAAAACACATCTCGGCGAAAATCCGTGCAAGGAATAGTTCAAGTGTCAAAACGGAGCCTTGCGCAGAATCGGCTTCAATAATAGGATATAAGCAGATAGTTGTCTTTAGATGAACAAATAGAAAAGATAATACTGTAATAAATATTTTCATTACAACAGTTTATGCTGTTTTGAGATATATATTCTAGTATAAATTTTATTTTTTAGAAAGAAATTACTCTTGTTGTACATAATTGAATCAATCTTTTCACAGTTAGATTTTTTTTTAATTATCTCAGAA